TATGCCAAGTCCTCACTGGGATTCTTGTACGGCAGCTTGAAGCTGGCACATCCTCCAAAAATGCCCAGGTTATGCTGAAAGAGGTCATGCCCTTCCTATTCTCAACGCGGGGTCTCGAAAGCCCGTCAAATGAGGTTCAAAAATTCGCATACGATACCGTTCTGAAGCTTGTAAAGAGCGGTGGAAAAACACTGCTACCATTTATCCCCAGTCTCATCGAGCAAATATTAGGCCTTTTGAGCACACTGGAACCAGATATCATCAACTATCTTCACATGAACGCCGCGAAGTACGATACCACGCAAGAGAAGATCGATGAAGCACGCAGTACTGCTATTTCGCATTCACCCATGATGGAGGCCATTGAACGATGCTTGGATCTCCTTGATGATAAGACAATGAAAGATCTGGTGCCTCATCTGGAAAACGTCATTAAGACAGCTGTCGGCATGCCCTCAAAGGTCGGATGCAGTGGCGTACTCGTTGGTCTTGCGACCAGGCATTCTTTCTTATTTAAGCCCCATGCAGATGTCTTTTTGAAAGATATTGAAAAGGCCGTCCGTGACCGGAATTCCACTGTCAGCGCAGCCTATGCCCGAGCTGCAGGCTACCTAGCTCGGCTTGGTTCAGATCAGCAAATTCTCAAGCTCGCAAACTACTCAACGAATTTATATTTTGCAGCCGAAGACGAATCCCACCGGCAGATATCTGCGGACATCATATACGCCATGTCAAAATTTGCGACAGATCGATTCAATGCGCTCGCGACTGAGTTCCTACCCTTTGTTTTCATGGCTAAGCATGACTTTGACGAGCATGTTAGAGATCAGTTTTCTAAAACTTGGGATGAGAATGTCGGCGGCTCTCGGGCTGTCCTTCTGTATCTGAAGGAGATTATTGATATCGCGGTCGAGCGTCTCGACTCGCCGAAATGGACCGTCAAGCATACTGCCGCTCTTACTATAGCAGATGTCATAGCCTCGGCTGGCACAGAAATCAGCATCCCACATTCTGAAGTTATTTGGCCAGCGCTCGAAAGGGCCCTTGCTGTTAAAACCTTCGATGGCAAAGAAAAGGTCTTGACTAGCTTTGTCAAGTTTTCACAGGCAAGTAAGAAATTTTGGTCAAAAGATCCAAAAATCACCGCGCAAATGACAAAGATTGCCATCCGAGAAGCGAAACGAAATAATGATGCATACCGTCCCCATGCTTTCCTCGCCTTGGGAGAATACGCCGAGGCGAGAACAGACACGGACCTCTTCACAGAGGTGCACGATGTCATTTGGCCATGGCTCGAAGATGCTATTAGCGACGATAAAATGGACGTCGATGACAAGGACGACAAGAAAGCTAGTTCATTAGACACACTTACCATTACTAACGGTGTCTCGGCCTTAATACGCGCTGTGAACACCGAGCCAGGAGTCGCGGAGAATCCTCTCTTACACCTCCCCCAACTACTAGAGATAATCACGGCTGTCTTTGCAAGCCAGAAATCAAGCATTAACGCACGCGTGGCGCTCTATGAGCGCTCCAAACTCAAGTTCTCCGCCGTAGCTAAGGGTACACCGCAAACGGGAGACAGCTATGCCCTTGCGGCGGGCTATTTCTCGCTACTAGAAGTACCGTCGGGTGTGGGCAGCGAGGTGGCGAGGACAAAACGCGCGGAGGCTGCGGAGGCAGTAATCGATGCGGTTGTGGCAGGCGTGTTCGGTCAGGATCAGTCTGGGAGAGTCGGATTGAGAGAAGACTTTGGGAAGCAGCTCCGTGAGGCCTCTGCGAATGAACGGGCGTTGGGGGTGAAGAGGGTGTTACAAAGCTGTACTGAGAAGTTGAGCAAGATCTAGCGGCTGTTCAGTCTGATGTTATGAGGGAGGGGGGGCGGGGGATCCATAGTTGCATTTAGACCAGAGTAGAAGGTGCGATGTCTTTGGCGCGGCTTTGAATACAAAGTAAGAATCAAAACAAATATATATAGAGGATTCTAAGCTCCGAATTTTGTGAGAGCTATCCTAAATCGTTACTGGTATCTGCGTCCGCATCATAAAACTATTGTAAGCGCAGAGCTAAAGTAATGTATTCCGCGATTTCATTCCAAGATAAAAAAGATGGCTGCAAGTAGGCAGGTCGTTGACTTCATCATAATCAATACTCACAATCAAAGCCCTCCAATCCCACTCTCCCACCAATGCCTCCCACTATACCACCCAATCTCAACATGCGCCCACGTCCACCACCCATACCCCTTCGGCCCCAACCCCATCCACCGCAACGGACTCACAAACACCGGCTCATACATCCACGTCCCGCCCGCCGACATATCATCACTAAACAGCGGCATCGTCGCATACAGCCACACGTACGCCAACAACCCATTCCCCGTCCTCCTCACCCACCGCGGCAGTCTCTCGATCAACGGCCGCAGCACCGCGCAGAGCAAAGTTTGCACGGTCACCGCTACGATCTGCAGCAGGAAGAAGGTGAGTTGGCGCTCTGGATGCGTCGGGAGGACTTGCACGTAGCTGCCGGCAGTGTGCATAGCCCCTGAGATGGTAAAGGCGATAACAATTCCGACAACCTGCGAGGCGATGCTGTTACCGCGCAGCCAGCCCTTGCGAATGAGGTAATTGGTAGGCGCGGTAAAGCCGGCGCGGAAGGTCTGGTGCCACCAGCTGCCCCAGAAGCCGCCGAGCCCCTTGTCGAGGATGGTGGCGGGGCCGCCCCAGGTTGTGGCGTACATCCAGGGTTCGCCGCGGATTCCGAGGACGCTGGGCCCGAGGAGGAGGGAGGCGATTATGGGGACTAGGAGGGCGTGGAACTGGATGAACACTACTAGCGAGAGGACGACGGTGTTGCGGCGGATGCGGGTGACGAGGAAGGGTGGGAAGCCCTCGAGGTATGGGGGGGCGGGGAGGGAGTCGTCGCCGGTGCGGTAGAAAGGGTCGTGGATGATCTGGAACTTGCACATATCCAGGAGGAGGTAGCAGGTTATGAATAAGGGTATCACATAACGTGCCAGCTCTTTGCGGGTTCGGAAACATTTGATTCCAGTCTTGCTTATAAGGGGTTCATCGGCTTTTGGGACAGTATCGCCGAGGGATGCGGCAATATCTTCAGGGAGAGCTGGATTGGTGGGGATGGAGAAATTCCAACCCCGGCCACGGAAACTGAACGTCAAATCCAGCACCCAGGCAAGACGTTCTCCGAAAGCATCGGGGTAGGGCTGCCAATAGTATTCCCACTTCCCCTTAGAGTTTTTGGTATCCACCAGGCTCTCATCGATCGTTGGCAGAGCGGCGGCATGATCGTTTTGTCGTTTCAGGGAATTCCCATTCCCATTCATCTTATATCCAATTGTCTCGGAGCCTTCCTGCGTCGTACGACCAGAGGTGGCCCGAGCCCCATTCTGCAACGCCTTGCGTCGACGCTCTATGCGCTTAGCCGTGAACTGGGGACGCTCGAAGATTAACCACATCGTGCTCCATACTACTACATATATCGATGCAACGCCGGAGATGTAAGAAACAGCTGGCTCCACGGAGATTCGATGACGGATATTGGAAACTTCCACTGCAATAATGGCGAACCACACTGGCCAGCGCAGCTGGTATAGGATGCGACTTCGTCGGTGATCTATGAGGAGAAAGCCAGCAAGGAGGGCCATACTGAGTAGCATTTGAGGAAATAAGAGGGGACGTTTCACGCCCGACGCAATGGCATTGTCATACTGAAGACGCAGGTACTCCAACGTCCCATGCTGCGAAGGAATGCGCGGTTGCGAATTCGCCATTCTACACTCTGAATCGGAGGTTTATTCCAGTAAGGAGACAATTATCACGATGAGAAGACAACTTGGAATGCAGGAAACTGAGAAAACGTGCCGCCACGGTTTCTTTGGCTAAAACATAGGAAACGGAGGACAGACTGAAAGTGAGACAGAGGACAGCAGATGGCGGTAAACATGGAAAGCATGGAAAGCATGGAAGCAAGGTAGTACCAGCTGCAGCAGGAGTCGCACCCGCATGGCCCCCAGACCATGGAGTTGCATATCAGTAGAATATGAGGTCTCGGCGGCAGTACCATAAGTCATATGACATGAGACACCACACCTTAACACTCTCCGTCCACTACCTAGACCCCAACAGCGCCCCCAATCCTCGGCCAGTCGCGGCGTAACCCCGGCCCGAAGCATCACCAAGACGTATTAGATTCTCACTTGGATCAGATAATATACCAATTCATATTCTGCCTGAATGCAACGTGTCGCCTTGGGGGCCAGGCTCAACGTTATACGTGATCCCCAGCTGGCGGCTAGCCGCCCATCATTTGGGGGGACATATCGCTTCGTCCCGCTGATCCGGCTCACATCAGACTGCAGCATATATTGGACTGGGGGTTGCTTCCAATAATAGCTGAGAGGCCAACCACGACCGCGCCAACAATAACTCACTCCCTTGCATCAGTTTACGCCATGGCTCAGCTCAACACAGCACGGAAGTCGACCGAGTGATAGCTGTGGGTGTGTGGTGTCTCATTGTGCTGTTATCGTTGTCTTGCTGTTGGCTGGTTGGTGCAGGGTGGTTGATAGATATCACAGGTGCAGTCTAGAATTTGGTTATTGGTGCCTGTGGTTGGTGGTGTCACCGTTAGCAAGGGACCTGTGCATGAGGACAAGGCTGGTTGTCAGCCTTGCATATATCGGCGACGTCAGAAACTTTTTTTTTAGCGCGCCGCCGCATGCATCATGGGAATATCAAGGCTGTGAAAAAAGAAAACGGCAAGAAGAGAGTAGATAATTTTGCCCATTGAAATGCTATATTTTATTCTCATGGTCTGGTGGAATAGATAATATAAAAGGAAAACTCATGTTTTAAATTCGAGCAAGCCCTCAACGTAAATCACTTCTCCCAAAAGAAAAAAATATATATGATTGCCCATGTGCCTCATTACCACAAACAGCAAAAATATTGAGGACTCCTCAAGAGAGCACTCGGGATTTGAGCCCGAGGCGGGGCTCGAACCCGCGACCTTGAGATGATCTCATATCCTAAGATAGGAAGTAAGAGTCACACGCTCTACCGATTGAGCTACCCAGGCGGGTTTGGTTGAAGATCATAAGTTTAAGACGGACTATGTTTGCCTCCCGGGAGGGCAGGGTGGACTGTGGGTGGCTGTGGGACAAGGTGAAAATATTCTTGGTGGATGCTCTCGGACGGGATGGGTAGGATTGGTGCTGGGATGTGCGGGTTCTGAGGGACTTGGTGGGTCGGCCGGGTTGGGTGGCCGAGTGGAAAACGAGGGCGCCGGGAGCCGAGCGAAAACTAGGTTTTTGGAGAACACGAAAAAGAGATATGGGTCTTTGGAAACAGCGGTAACGTGCCGGATCTTGGATTCGTATACTGATACGGAGTCCCTCTTCCACCTGGATGCCAGATTGGCACCACTGAAGCCATCCCCGTGCCAGAGAATCTCATCCCATTTGCATCCCAAAACTCCAGGCCCACTCTCAAAAAAAATCGCGTAGCCTTCCAATGCACAGTTTCAAGCTAGATTCCTATATTCCACCTCCTGCCCCATCACTCACTCCACTTTCATTTCTCTTGCAACTGCGAGACGTCATACTGCGCTGCGTCGTGATAGAGATCGATGAAGCATCCCGCAGACCAAGCCTGAGTCGGAGACTATCTCACATTAGCAATTAATCTCATACACATATCACTCCATGCAAACTTACCGAATCGGCACAGAAACTCCCATTCTTATTCGTCAGCTCCGTCAACCCAGCCCACTCGCTCTCAGCAATGGCCTTCTTAGATCCTGCCAGCCTGCGCGTCACCTGCTGGAATGCCTCGGTCCTCCCTTCGGGCGTGTCCCTGCGCTTCAGATCAAAAGCAAGCAGAGCTCTCAGGAAGAATCCTGTAGGCCACAGCCATTCAGGGCCCTGGTGGTAATTGCGTCCCTTTGATGTCGCCTTGTCTGTCGAGTCTTCAGAGTTGTGGTAGTCGGGTCGGTAATTCAGATCCGAGGGATCTAATGTAGCCATCCCCGTTGGCCCACGCAGCGCCTTGTCAGCGATGAAGAGGGCACCCAATGCATGCTTATCGTCAAACAAATCTGGCGCGACGGCCATGGCGATGGGGAAATTTGGCCGGAGTTGGTAGTCCTCGTATTCCTTTCCAGATTTGTAGAGATCCTTGTAGATGCCACGGCGGTTGATGATGGCAGGGTTGACATCATACTTCGCATCCTCCTCCGATGAAGCCGGAACGTAGTAGCATCGTTCGAAGTTGTCGCGGATCTTGCTGGCCCAATCGGCAAAAGAAATCTCTTTCGTAGAGGCATCGTTCGTGTTGACGCCACTATACTTGAATTTCCCTTCCTTGTGAAGTTCGGATACCCACTTCAGCGCGCTGTATGATAGTCCAGTAATTTCGATAGCGGCACCGTCACGAGGAGTACCGGGGACACCCTTCGTCCCAGCCCGTTCGCTTTCACCCATCTTGTCCATCCAGGTCCCGCAGTTGTCCTGGCTCCCACCAAATATGATACCAGTATCCCAGTTGACATTGATGTCAATCTGGAATCCCTCGGGCTTCATTTGCATGTCGAGCTTTGGACCGGCATTGGCCTCTCGGAATGACATGCCATTAGCATGCCTTTGGAATATTTCCTGGATGATATCTTCTAAGGTGGAAGTTGTGGAATACGCCCTTGGGTCATCTGACTCAAAGTATGTATCATCGTAAGGCAAGAATCTCCGCGAAACCTTCTCCTGTAACAGATCATGGCCATTGGGCACAATCTTCGTATAGTCCTGAATAGTCTGCAAGAAGAACCAGACGGAATCACGAGAATTGTAGCGTGGCAGGTTACCACTGCTAAGAAGGTTCGGAATCATGCCATGCTTGACAACACTAGCAAAGGCAATGATATGTTCACGAGCTTCCGCATAACGGCCTGTTCCCAAAAAGAGGCCTCTCGCGGAGATGAAAACATCTCGTCCCCAGCACCTAGCCCACTCCACAGCAAAATGCGGCAGCCCAGCTGCAAGAGACGGCACCGCTTTCTTTGGGTATAGGGAGGCAGACTTCACGAAGCCCGTCTGCTGTACACTGACCATCGCGAGACTCTTCATGAACCACTGTCCCTTCTGCACATTCTCGCTCATGAGTTCGACGCCTCGTTCAAATCCGGCAGAGTACGCAGTCTTGATTATCAGTCCAAAATAGCGCGGTAATAAGAAGCTGGGAAGCTTTCTAATTGCATCGAAACGTTCTTGGAGCCATAATGCCGGGGCCTGTAGGCGTTCAAATCCCTCCTCTTTGGATTTCCGCTCCAGACGCCCAACTGTATAGTCCAAGGCCCATTGACCGCTTCTAAGATGCTGCGCAAGTGGGTGTGCAAGGTCATTCTCATTAATGACTTTCTTCAACACGCTCCACCAACCTTCCAGTCCTGCGTAGACTAGTTTGCCATGGCTAGGAATGTCGTAAACTCCATCCTTTCCATCGCTAGAATCCAGTTCTTCGCCCTCACATCTGTACATGATGAAGTTGAGGTCCACGAGATCAACCTTGGAGAAGGCCTCTTTGGCACCCGACGTGACATGTGTGTCAAGGCCAGATGCATGCTCTGCTGCCGGGATCCATGTCTCAAAGAGCGCGATGCTTCCTGGCGGGAACTTCTCTCCCATAGTAATAACGGTCTCATCATCTTTAGACTCCATGTTGATCCCAGGAACGCTGGTGACCTTGCTAGGCAGCCCCTTGAGAAATTGTTTATCTCCTAAAACAGCATCGCGGGCCTCTTCCGAATCATCCACCTCAAGCATCCAGCTTCCAAGGTGTTTAGCCTTGGTTCCGGTAAGATGAACAGGGCTGAACGGTCCGTTGCCATTTTTATACCCAGGGAATGCGGTGTGAGCAATCAAGAAATATCCTTTTCTCGACTCGGGATGCACTCTGTGCACGGTGACATATTGATCGTCATGGTGAATATGCGTCTCCTCGTACCCGTCGAGGCCCATTAAGATGTGAATCTGGTTGAGGAGCTTCCTCACACCTCCAATTCCACCTTCTTCATCGTTAATATCGACTGGCTTGTCAGATGATGCCGAGGTATATAGTCGCGTCTCGTGGACTAGGTCGATAATCTTGGGATATATTTCATCATAACCGAAAACGCTGCCAGTTGCACTTGCGCACATATATACCAACGCAGCGTTTGGTAGCGTGTCGCGGGCATCTCGTTTTTGCGCTGGAACTTCATTGTCGTGCGTGCAGTCCATAAACAAGGCATGAACTGGAGTCTGCTTGATCTTTCGCACAATTTCTGTCACTCCTTCACCCGTTGCATCGTTTCCAGAGATTTCATCAACCTCAAAGCTACCAATAGGACGACCTCCATGACGGTGGACCAGTCGGCTCAACTCTCCGGTATTCCAAGCCTGCATAGCCTCTCGGATGAGGCCATTGATACCGAGGCGCTTGACAAATACATAATCCATCTCCTCGGAACCAGTGAACAGTTCGGCGACGACAAACAAGTCAGGGCGCACGCGTCGTGCTTCATCGAGAAGATATTCAGCGACATGAAGAGGAGTAGAGTGCGCATTGTCGATTCGGAGACCGGTGAAGTACTTTGCCATAAGCTTCGTATAATTTGCCATGCGCTCCCATAAATAAGGAGAGTCCTTGGGGCTGTCACCATATTTTAATTTGACGCAGTCGCCCCAGACGATGACTTCTCGTCGGAGATAGGCTCGAGAGTTTGGTCCAGCATTGTCCACCAGGGCATTGGCGGCCCAGATCCATCCGTTATTGACAAGGGCCAGGTCTTCCTGCTTGTGTTTTTTGGTAGTGGCGTTTTGAGGAAGTCTTGTGAAGTAAGACTCGATGAGTGGGTTTTTATCGTTAATAGGACCAAGCTTTGGTCCGTTATCGTCCAGGCGTACATATTTGACGCGGTTGAAGATCTGCTCTAGAACTTCTGCAATATCTTCGTCGTATTCTCGGTAATATGGCAGGTTTACCTCGTCCAAAATTTTGGAGATATGATTCCGTATCTCGTCACTATCAGCGGCATTGCCGTTAGACTTTCCATGCAATTCTGTCAACAAAGCTGCTGCAATGGCTGGATCAACCTTTCGCCTATAGCGCTCTCCCAGGCGGTCAGTCCCCAGCATGGCCTTCTCAGTGATAAACTTGGCATGCTCCTTGGGCGAAGCATCTTTGCTTCCAAATCCCTCGGCGGGTGCCTTGATATTCCCGGATACCCATGCGTCCACGGCCGCATCAGCATCCCTCTTAGCATCAATGGCATAGTATTCCCACAATTTAAGGCCGCCAATGACTTTCGTCTTAATGCCATCCATGATCAACAACAAATCCTCGACGGTCTTGATGTCTGTGGGCAGCCCCAGCTCCCCTAATTCGCGGCCAAACTTTAGCAGCTCTGTGTCGAGCTTGAGTGCTGACTCTAACCATGGAGCGGTAGACATGTTGTATCCCACTTCCGGATGCTCTTGAAGCCATGTGCTGTTATCAGCTGTATGGTTCCAAACCACGTCGGTCAGTCCCAGTAGCCCGTGCTCTTTCTCCATAACATCGACCAGTTGGGCAATATCCTTCTCGCCCCCAGGAAAGCATTCGGGGTCCCATCCTAGCTGATCTGCTATGCTATATGGCGAATTCGACTGTCCCCTGACTTGCAGAGGGGTGAAGTGAATCATATTATAGCCGCGTTCGCTGATTCCGCGCAGATGCTTCTGCCAATCTGTCGGGTATTTCCCCATAAATTTTGACAAGACAGATATTATCGAAAGGGCGGGCGTTGGGAGCTGTTTGTCTCCCAGGCTGAGGCGTGGGGCGACATCGATATAGTAGAGAGGGGTTTTGGTCGGTTCTGATGGGCTTGAACCGGCTTCGTCGAGATCTGGTAATGGGGAATATGTCGTATAGAAAGCGAACGAGCCGGAAGATTGAATTGGGATATCAATCTCTAGTGTGCGGTTGAAGTCTGGTTCCAGCCTGCGGATGTGTTAGGAATGGACAATTCATGGGGCCTAATTGATAGTCTCACTTGAATTCCCTAAAGGC